CAGACCTGCCAAGGTTGGCCAGCAGCTTTCTCAGGGCTCAAGCATGAGAGAGGACCATGGTACTGCACTCTGCCCAGGGCACTCAAGGGGCGAGTGCTGCACCCCCTTTACACAGCTCCTCAGGCCAGTTAGTGCAGCCCAGTTTGCTAGAGTTTCCTGCTAGGACTCAACATGTCATATCAGGAGCAGAGCCAGTAGCGTCTAGTGGTGAGACTTTCAGTAGGTATGAGTAAATGCCCCATAGCGCCCCCACCCCTGACTCGGGGCACGGGTAGCTATTGTCCAGAATCTCTGCCACTGTCAAATATCTGCTGTACTCTGAGTAGTGCCTTAAGGGATGGTGCATAATGGATGTTGCCACTAGGTGTCGCTGCTGGCATGGGTGCTAGTCACTAATTCAGTGCAAGGTGCTGGAATGGATGCGCGGGCCAGTACTACAAGAGGCAGACACTTTGAAGGGCCCTGCCTTCCCTGTGTACCATGTAGCAAAGCCCCGCCATACTGCACATGGGCTGCAGCCCCCCGCCCCAGTGTGTCCCGCCAACGGCTGTGGGAAGTGTTCTGGCGAGAGGCATCTCTGCTGTGGGCTTTTGCTGAGTGAAGATGATGCTATTGATGGAATGTTATCCGCACAAAACTATGTTAAAAGGCCATTCGCACTTTGCCTGTAACTACTGAGAACCAGCAAGTCCCACAACAAATCCAGTAATGCCTGTCCTACCCCACCCTGTCAAACAGAGGGCATCTTTCGCTCTGCGCTGCCTGTCTTCGTGCCAATGCAGAGGCCATGGGGGCTGCAGATGTATTCCTTCACAAGAGTAGCTCTCCAGGGCTCAGTCTCGTGTCACCCACAGACATTCAGCCTGGGCCATTGCTGCCAATAATCAAACACTGTCAGCTGTGTTGTTTCCTTGGGCTTGGGCTGATGTTCTCTCCCTTGCTTGCCTTACACAGCTTTCCTCTGGCCAGGCAGGGGGTGGAGCGGGATGGCTGCTATGCTGCGCCGCCTCCCAGTGCTGCCTTTCGGCGTGGAGGGGGTGGTTAAAACATCCTGTCTGGTGTCGAAGGACAGCCTCTGGCTGCTTCTCCTCCTCACTAGGAGGGCCTCCAGCTCAGCCTGGCTGCCCGGCTGGGGAAGATGAGCTTTCAGGGCTGGCCCGGGGGTGGCGTTCCAACGAAAAGTTGGTGTGAGCTGGGTTTGAAGGAGCTCTGTGAGCTTTTCCAAATCCTGTCTCCAGTCTTTGCCATGGGAGCCAATGGGCTGGCGGGCCTTCTAGTCCGCAGGAGTGGCTGGCAGCTGCTCAGCATTCTGGGTTGTAGGAGGGCTCCCTGTGCCAGCGGTGAGGTTTGGCTTGCCTGCTCGAGCCAGATGCCCTTTGCCTCCCTTTGCCTCTCCACACAGCTGGATAAGCTCTTGGCTCCTGCGCAGTTTCCTTCTGTTCTCCCACAGGTTTTTGGGCAGGGGCTTGCAGGGCAAGAGGGACTGAGCGAGCAACCTCTCACTCTGCCTGTTGTGGCCTGGGCCTTCCCCCCTTAGCCGTCCTGATGTGGACTGGGTTCCTCCCCAGCGCGGCGCTCGTGTCAGTATCCCTAAGCATGTCGGCACAGGCTGTGTGGCCCTGGTGATGAGCCTGCATCAGCGCGGTGAGTCCATCTTTGTTGGCCTTGTTGATCTGCAGCCCGTATGATCATTCTGGTAATGGCCATGTGGTCTGTGGCAACTGCATGCCATAGCGCTGTGCACCCGTCCTGGTCTGCGTGATTCAGATCGCAGTCCAGGGCACCCAGGCACAACCCCACCAGACCCTCTCGCTGGTACAGCACAGCGTGGATCAGAGCATTCCGCCCAACCCTGGCCCCAAAGCTCAGCAGCAGCCGGGCAGCTCCCAGGGCCCAGCCTTCCCCATCGTGGAGGCAACAGTTGATCAGTGGCATGTGGCCCTCTCTATCCTGCCTGTTCACGTCAGCACCAGACTGGACCAGCTCTTTCAGAAACTCAGTCTCCTTTCCTCGGGGCTTCGTTAACGTCTGCTGAGAAAGGCCAGGCTGTGCATGCAGCCGGGCTCCGGCATGTGTGAGGGACAGGACGCAGCATGGTGCGCAGGGCTGTGGGAGCAGCAGCTCTCCTGGCTTCCAGCTGCTGCAGTTTCCTGACAGAGTCTTGGCAGGTCTAGCTGGGGAGGGGCAGATGCCAGATGGGCACCAGTGTGTCTTGGTTTCTGCTTGATACATAGGGAGCGACTTACCAAACAGAGTTATCAAGGCTTCTGTTTGTTCCCTCAGGGAGGAGATTCCTGTGAATCAGCCTTTGTGACAAGCAGGCAGCACTGATAACCAGGGTTAATGAGTCACTCATTTGCCAGGTGAAGTCTTGTTTAGGAGAAAAAACCAGCAAGCAAATGGTCTGGCAGCACTAACAAAACATGCAGATGGGATCATGAGCTTTCGTGGGCGCAGCGCACTTCTTCAGATGACCGAAGTTACAACTAGGGGAGCCTACTTCTTCAGATGACTGGAGTTATGACTAGGAGATAAGAAAACTCAAAATAAATAGAAGGAAAGGGGAGGGAGAGAAAGATGCTCTGTTGCCCACCCCCCCACCTCTATACATAAAGTATCAGGAGTAGGTTTGTAGGTGAGTCCTGCCTGCCATGGGCCGCAGCTACTGGTTTGTGGTAGGAGGGGAAATGGCTCCTTGGTGTTACCCCATCGGCTTCCAGGGAACTGCCCCAGAGAGGGGGCTGGGCTGGGCTGGGACTGCCTCACATTATGGTGTGTTTATGTTGTCCCCCTTTGCATGTTTTCTCCAAAGGAAAGGAGGTTGATGTCTAGGGGCTGGATCTTCCCCCGTCCTGTTTCAGGAGCGCTGGACTGTAGTGTGAGGAGAGGCACCAAGGGACAGGCACTGTGTTAGACACCATGCTGAGGGTGGTCCCCAGCCCGATTCCTTTCCCTGCATTGCTGTGAGCACTCGCGTGCTTGCAAGGCCTGAGAGGAGAGCTTGGGGCTGAAAGGAGATATTGGGCCAGGCAAAGACGATTGTTCAGGCTGATCCTGTGCAGGAAGGCGGTCGCTCCTCTCTGTGTCCTTCTGCTGCCACTGCTCCCTGGGAGGGGAGGGGAGGGGAGCACATTTTCCTCCCCAGTAACCAGAGCTCCGCTGGGACTGCACTGCTCACAGCAACACTGGATCGCAGGGCTTGGCCTGGCCACTAATGCACATTGAATAGAAATGCAGTTTGTGTCATCGCTGCTCTGGGCCTCTCCAGCATGGCACCCAAGTGGAGCCAATCCAGCCTTGTGCCTCTGCTAAGCGGATAGTCCACAAGCAGCACGGCATGATAGCCCCAAAGCACTGGCACGTGTCATGCACGCTGCCAAACAACGCGTCTGTCACCACAACCTGGCTCAAAAGGGAAACCATTCCGTATCGCCTGCTAGTGCCAGCCCTGTGGCTCAGGCCAGCTAAACTGCTACACAGCACTTACGGCACTGCAAGCCTCTTCCATGACACCGGAGGACTGTTGTTTTTAGTGTCATCTCTCTGCAGTGCTCTTGTGATCACTAGAGAGGAGAAGTATGTTCCTCTGCCACTTAGAAAGGTAATGTCTCGGGTGTCAGGGCTGTGCAAGGTACTGTCTTCTTGGCAAGTTCAATAGGAGTTTTAGGAGAAAAGGTCCCTTTTATTGTGAATATGAGAAACTGGTATCCTGCCTGGCACCTCCGCGCTCCCAGCAGATTTGGGCACCCGTCAAGGTGAAAACATTGTCCTAGGCTAGGTGGGAAGAAACCCGAGGCATCTGCTCCTTACAGATAAGGGAGTCTCATCAGGAGACCCCATGCGTATGGGAGTGTACCAATGGGAAGGTGTGCTCCTTTCTAACCACTAGACGTAGGCTGCACTCAGTGGTGTAATGGCCAAGCGGGAGCTTTCAGTTGGAAATTATCTGCAACGGCCACATGGCTTCTGCTTTCAAACTTCTCATCGACTGCACCCCGGCCCACTAGTGCTCAGCTGCCAGCAGACTGTCGAGCAGTTCCATGTGCTGCCTAGAGCAGTGGCTGGCAGGGCAATACAAGAAAACACATTTACACGACTAGGTCTCTTCACACGGCTAAGTTAGTAAGTGACCCATGCCCAGTGGAAAAGGGCCCCGGTTTTTCCCAGCTGAATGAGGGGGCCTGACCCATGCTAATCACTAGGCTATTGGGTGCAGGCGGTGGATCCACTGGGCCCACTGTGATCTTTCTGTACTGCCTGGGTAGAGGGACCTTAGACAGACCCCATGTGGCTCCACCTGCCATGGGGCGCTAGCCACCAGCAGGCTGGAATAGCAGAGGCTAGGGGAAACCACCTGGTCAAAATGAGAGCCAGGAGTCCTGGGCACTCCCCAAGCCCTGAGCTGGCAGACACCAGGGCTATGTCTACACTCGCGGCTTCTTGTGCAAGAAAACGTCCACATTGCCATGTGAGTTGTGCTTTTGTGCAAGAGCTCCCATGGCAGCGTGGACGCTCTCTTGCGCAAGAAAGCTCTGGTGGCCATTTTAGCCTTAGGGCTTTCTTGCGCAAGAAATCCCTGCTGAGCATCCACACTGCCCTCTTGCTCAAGAGAGCTTACACCTGTCAAAAAAGAGCATAGCTCTTGTGCAAGGAGCCCTCGTACCATGCCGTACTGTGAATGTCCTTGTGCAAGAGCAGGCGGGCAGTGTGGACACTCTGCAGATTCTTGCGTAAGAACGGCTGTACTTGCGCAAGAAGCTGCGAGTGTAGACATAGCCCAGGAGGAGGAGGAGGGTGCTTGATGCAGAGGCAGACCCAGGAGGGATTGCTAGGTGTGGCAGCCCGGGGCATACAGGACAGCCTTACGCCCGGTTATATGCCTTGCCCCGCTCCACTAAGGAGAAGCCTTTTAATTGGCTACTTGCTTCCTCTTGGCTCATCACTAGGTTGAATTGATTTCCCCAGTATTCCTTGGTAGGCGAAATACCAGGGATGGGAGGTGATGGTGCAAGTGTTTCGTTTTTATTGCTCACCCTGGAAAAGCAGATCTAAATCATTCTACAGTGGCTGGAGTTGGACTAAACCAATGGAAAGGGCGGAAAAAAGGATCAAAATAAAATGGAGGGATAGTATCCATTATCTGTGTGGTCATTTCCCAGAGGGATGTTCAGTGCCTCTGCTATGCCTGCTTCTTCTGACTTTGGCACTTCCCCAAGCTCTGTAAAAGAGGAAGAGAAAAACCATTTCCATGTTGAGTGTCATGGTATTTTCCTTAATGCCAGAACTGCTGAAATCAGGTAATCACTTGAGAATCTCAGCTGCTGCTGCTTTTTTTCTTTTTAATAAAAGGAAAGGTTTCTAGCCCTCAGTGAAGGCGTGTCCTGCAACAGAAAGCCCTAAGGGGCAAGTGAGGCCAATTAACCTGCTGCTGGAGGAAAGCCTAGGGCTACATCTACACTGGCACGATCTTGCGCAAGAACGCTTTTGCGGAAGAGTTCTTGTGCAAAAACTCTTCCAGAAGAGAGTGTCTACACTGGCATGTGTGTTTGCGCAAGGGCATCCATGCCAGTGTAGACGCTGTCTTGTGCAAAAAAGCTCTGATGGCCATTTTAGCCATCGGGCTTTCTTGCACAAGAAATTCCTGTTGCCTGTCTACACTGGCCTCTTATGCAAAAACAGTTATGCAAGAGGGCTTATTCCTGAGCGGGAGCATCATAATTCTTGCGCAAGAAGCCCTGATTTCATACATTAGAATGTCTGTGTAGTTGCACAAGAATTCCCTGCCAGTGTAGACAGGCAGCAAGTTTTGGTGCAAAAGCAGTCGCTTTTGTGCAAGATTGCGCCAATGTAGACAGCCTAGGATTGCTAAGGCTAATTGTTGATGAAATCCAACTGGAGGAGGAGCTGGGCCATGTTAATCAAGCCAGGAAGTTGGCAGCAGAAAGAGGGCGGTGGCAGTAGTCTGCAGTTCTGCCTGGGAGAAGGGCTGTGAGTGTGGGGCTGTAGTCTGCTCTTATTGTGTGGGTTGGCCTGGCAAACCCAGAGAGTGGGGGTACTAGAAGGGTGAGCTCAGAGGTGGAAAGGCAGCCAGGCAAAGAGTAACAGGGTCTGAGAAGGCAGTTGCAGGTCTAGGGTCCCTGGACTGGAACCTGGAGGTGTGGATGGGCCTACCCTGGGGAAGTGGTAGGGACCAGGCAGTGGAGTTCAGACTGCTGAGGGGGGCTGTCTGGAGAGCATTTGTCACTCAAGAAGGGGAGGGTTATAGTGACCAGACCAGAGAGCTGAGTCCCAAAGAAGCAGCATTCTGGGTGTCAGAGAAAATGGAGCCCATGGGGCAAGGAACCGACAGGCAGGTGTGTCAGGTCTGACCCCTGTTCCCCAAACAGAGACCTGGGAGGCACATGGACCCTGGATGTAAGGGTGGATCCTTGGGGCTCTGGATGCAAGGCACATGCAAGCCCTAAGGGATTGGTGTCAAAGTCCTTGCGGGGTGGCTCTCCCGTTCCCATCAGTGACAATAGCCACATCTCTAGGTAACCCCCGGTGGAATAAACATGAACAGCCTGTTGTTGACAGTGCTAAATGAGCTAGGAAGAGGGTCAGGTTATACAGGGACCTGGCAGCTCTGCAGCTGTCCCCAGGCACCCATGGGGAGCAGTCCTGTGCCACAGCATCTCCACACCTGCCTGCCAGGCTGCAGCGATGATGAATGGGTCCCTCAGGGGACAAGGCTCGGGCTTCCCTCTGAACTGATTGGGACAGCCCTTCTAGGAGGGACTTATGGGGCGGGGAAACCCCCAAAGGCCTGGTCAGAGCCAAAAGCTCCATGCCTGCCTTGCGGCACCAATGGCCAAGGAAGCGGGCCTGTCTGCGTGTGGCCCAAGGGACTGGAGCGTGGGGCAGGAGGTTGTCGCTGCCATGTGCAAAGGCAGGCTTGAGGGAGGACGCGGCTCCAAAGCTGTTGTCACAGCTCCATGACTGACAGGGCAGCTGCTCCTCACTGCAGCTCGGGGAGAGGTCGTGTGGATGTTCTGGGATCCACAGGTCTGAGCACTTACCTGCTGGATGCAGTGTGTCCGTGGTTGGGGGCCCCTCCACCGTCTCCTGCTGAGTCCCACCAGACAGCTCTGGAGTCCCAGACAGGGCAGGCTCCTCTTCGCTGTGCCCTGAAGATGCCTGTGCTTTCTCTGCTGGCTCCTCCTCCACATCGTCTGGCCCTTTGGGTTGAGGCTCTGGCTCTGTAGCCTGCTGCCGGCCTCTTCCTCTCCCTGCTCCTCGGCCCCTCTTTGGCCCTTTGCTCTTGCCCCGCTCTCTGTCAGGACATTGCAGTGTCACACAGGGCTGGGAACCAGGGGCGACCCGGCCAGGCCCAAAGGAGAGCAAAGCCCCCAGCTGCCAGGCACATTCCCTGGGAGCTGGGTGTTGGATTCCCCCATGTGCAGTGCTTTGTCAGGGTAGCTGGACTGGCAAAGAGCTCCTAGTGTGGACACCACCAGGCCAGCAAACCTGCACTGCTGCTGTCGCTTATTCCTGCCACTCCTACTTCTCCCACTGCTCAGCAAACTAGCCTGTACTGGCTAAGTATAGCTCTCCAGCTGTAGCTAGCTGCACAAGGGCTTTGTATGGGCCAGCTCCATCTGTCACAGGTCACAGCCTGTCTGTCCCGTGGCTTGGTGCACACGGCTGGTGAATTCTGAGCTTGCCTGGTTCACGGGCTCATGCCTAAAGCCACACGTTTTGCCAGCAGCCTACTGTAGGGAATTGCCTGCCATCTCCACCCATGTGGGTTCAGGGCTTATTCCCTCCTATGCAGGGACTGCAGTCATGGAACAGCTGCTCAGGTCTTAAAGCAAACTGAGAAATAGTGCATGTGACAGGGCAATATTCTGCAATAACCTGGGCTAACTTCAGTGAATTAGGTTTATACACAAATGTGGGCCAGAGATTGCCCATAATCCCCTGTGAGAGGTGGCTCCCAGCCCTCCAGGAACTGAAAGTGGGACTGATAGGCTTGTAATGCCCCCAGAGAGGTCCCACGGCCTGGAGAAAGGCTCACCCGTACTATTCAAATGGGATTTGCCAGGGACTAGCAGCCGAGCAAAGGACTTTAACTAGCGTGAGCCCCCTTGCATGTGCACAATAAGCAGTGTTACAGGACAGGCCATTGGGCTGTCCATATACTGCTCCTGGAGCAGTTGGGGGGGGGGGGTATGGAGCTGCGCACAACTTGGCAGCTCTGCGGCTGGGGTAGGCTGGAGGGTGCCATTGAGCCTGTACCAGCCCAGGGCAGCAGGTTGGTTTCCCCCATGTGCTCTGTCAGTGATCCCTGAGCTCACCAGGACACGTGTGAACGTTTGACCAGCAGCAGATCTGGAACTGTGGGTCTTTGTTCTCTTGTGCACCTCCCTGGAGCACTCGTGCGGTGTGGCATTCTGCTGCCCAGGCGTGGCTGTTTGCACTTACCACTGCACATGCTCAACGGGACAGGGCTCCATTGGGTGAGAGCCACACTGCCCTGCAAGCTGCCCGGGGTGCCCTGTGGCTCCCCGGGGGGGGGGGGGCAATCCCAGCAGCAGCTCACAGCCCAGGCTCTGCCCACTTCCCGCTTTGCTGGAGGGGATACTGCAGAACAGCGCCAAAGGCTTTCTGCCCCCTTGCCTTGAGTGAGCCCTGAGCACAGAGCTCCGTTCCCTGCGGAGCTGGGTGCATCCTGTCTCCAAGAGAAAATCCCCCTGGGGTTAGTGCAATTTACCTCCGAACCCACTCCGCGGTGTCTTTCTCCTGTGCCTCTGCTTTCCTCTTCCTCAGCAGCTCTCGGTCTCTCAGGCGGCGCGTGATGGCTCCTACAACAAGCCTGCTGTCAGTGTGGGGGGCTGACGGGCAGCCTGTGCTAAGTCTTCCTGGGTGACGGGCACAACAGGGTGAGTCAGGCAGGAGAATCCTGGGGTGGAAGGGAGTCACCTCAGGCCCAGGCGGCGAGCTGTTCTGTGAATAGCCCCCAGGACAGCAATGCGCCTGCGAGTGCAGGTAGGGGATGAGAGCTCACACCCTTCATGCCGCAAGTAGCACTTTACGAAAGCAGGCGTGCTCTGGGCATGCCCAGCTTCTTGGACAGGCGATCCCACAGGGCAGCAGCATCCAGAACATTGTGGCCCATTAAATCATTGCAGAGCTGCTGGTTGGAAAGCCTGCCGATGGTTCACCCATTCTCATTGTTTGCTGGTCCCATCATTGGCTCCCTCAGCTCTCAGAGGGCCTGGCCCTTGGCTCTACCGCTCTCTCAGCTGCGTCTGCTGCAGTTTGAAGGCTCAAGTGTTTATCACACATTGCTTCAAGGGTGCTGCCACATGTTCATGAATCTCAAGGTTTCCCCAACGGGTATCCACTGTGGCCTCATGCTACATGCTGGCCTGGGACTCATTAGACCTGCATTTTAATCCCAGCTTTGCAATTGGCTGCTGAGCGACCTTGGCAAAGTCTCCGTAAACAGGATGAAGTTCCTGGAGCACAGGGCCATCAGTGGCTGAGCCAGGATGGTCAGGGATGCAACCCTGTGCTCTGGGTGTCCTTAGCCTCTGACTGCCAGAGCTGGGAATGGGCAACAGGGGATGCCTGTTCTATTCATGCCCTTTGGGGAACCTGGCATTGGCTGCTGCTGGCAGGCAGGACCCTGGGCTAGATGGGCTGTCGGTCTGACCCAGTTTGACTGAGCTTACTGCCTGTCTGTAAAATGGGGTAATGGCCCTGCGCTCTGCTACAAAGGGCTTTGCGATCCACTCAGGATTGTCATCTGGCAGCCTGCGGCAGGAGCTTGCACTTGGCCTCTCCTGTGGCCAGGTCAGATCCTGTGAGAGGCAGCACCCCTGGCTGGGATCGGCCCCTACGGGAACGCACTTGAATGCTCAGGGCAAGCAGTTGTGCAGAGGGCAGAGGGAGAGCTTAGCGCCTGGCTGGAGAGAGGCCTAATGGGTTTCAGACGGACAACCTGGGCCAGGAACATTCCTGTCTGCCCTGGGTGGTGGGTATACGTTGGGCTTAGCTTCCCCGTGGGAGCCAAGTCCCCACACTGCAGTGCAGGCTGCCCCCCCACCCTGCCTGGCCCCAGCCTCACCAGTCCCAGAGCACAGAGAGGGTGGGCAACCCCAAACGCAGCACAACTGAAGCCCAGGCAGTCCCAGGAGCCTGGAGGGAGCCCTGCTGAAGCTGCAGGGGAGGGCAGAGCTGGGAGCACAGTGGGAGCGGGGCCAGCCTGGCAGTTTGGGAAGGCATTGCCTTCTCCTGCCTCTGGTGCCCACTGTCCCTGCTGGGAATAGCGAGTCACAGCGCAGGTCTACACTGCACTTAGCGGGTGCTGCCCAAGGGGCTGGTCCATTGCACTGTAGATGGCCCAGGCTTGAGCTGGAGTTCGGGCTCCAGGGACCTGCGAGCTGGGGCTGTTCCAGAGAACAGGCTGCACGTCTGCCCTGCCTCCCCCCCATGAAACTCAGCTGAGTCTGAGCCAGCTGGCACAGGCCAGCCACAGTGCAGATTCACCCAGTGACGCCATGGGCTGAAGGCTGCCTGCAGATAGAAGGGTGGGGTCCAGCACGAGACGCCACTTCTTCCGTGTGAAGGGTTCCAGCAGCCACGTATTAATGAATCAGTCCTCACTGAGCCGGTGTTTGGGCCTCAGTGGCTTTCCAAGTGTCACGTGGCTGAGCTGGGGCCAGAATTCAGGGCTGGAATCCCAACGTTTGCCATCAATGGCAAAGCTCCCATTGACGTCACTGAGTCAGGATTTCCACCCCAACTGCCTGTGCCCCAGCCCAGAGCTATCCTTGTGGTAGGGTGCCTGCCTGCTTGGAACTCTGTCACCAAGGGCCGTCACTGCCCCAGCACGATAACTAGGTCCATACGTGCACCTTGGCTCTCCCTTCCCAGGCCTCAGCAGCTGCGAGTGCCGTGTAAAAGAGCTGCTAGCATGCCCCTTTGCTGTGAGACAGGACAGCGGATGTGCCACACAGGCAGAATAATGAATTTCTGCAACATCTCCAGCAAGGGCCGGTGAGTGCTTGGCAGTGTGGAATGAGGCAGGGTACCACTAATTACACTTAGCACCGTCCAGCCAACAGCCTTAAAGCATGTTAATTCACTGAGCCTCCCAAACAAGCCCTAGGAGAATCAGGAGGGTTGTTACCACTAAATAGGGAAACTAGGCATGGAGCAGCCAAATGTCTTGGGCACAAGGAATCTGATTCTTCTGGGAATAAAACCAGCAGCTCCTGATTGTGTGCTAAGCCATGGCTATCCCTCTCTGGATCTCCAACCCCAGCCAGGAGCAATTAACTCGGGGGCTATGTCTACACTGGCAGGGTCTTGTGCAAGAATGACCATTCTTCCACAGAGCATCCACATTGCCCCCCCACTCTTGCACAAGAAGATTTACAGTACGGCGTCGGAAGAGAGGGCTTCTTGCACAAGGGCTACGCGCTTTTCTAACAGGTGTAAGCCTTCTTGTGCAAGAAGGAAATGTGGACATGCGGAAGGGGTTTCTTGCACAAGAAAGCCATATGGCTAAAATGGCCATCAGAGCTTTCTTGCGCAAGAGCGTGTCCACACTGCCATGGACACACTTGCACAAAAGCATGTGGCCATGTTCTTGTGCAAGAGTTCTTGTACAGGAACCTGCCAGTGTAGACATAGCCTGGGAGTGCTGCTTTCTTAGGCTTTGGAGCCCATTCTGCACTGAACACAAGGCTACAGAATTATTGTTTTTATAATAATGCCTGGGCCCCATAGAGACACCCAAACAGAGATGTGCTCTGTCCAGAGAAGCTTGCACTCTGAACAGTCATGACAGGGAAAGGGTGGGAAATTACACTGTGATTCAAAAAATATACTAGGAAGTGGACAATATAAAGTAAGAGACACGTGCCACAGCTTGACAGTCCTGGTCAGCAGCCAAAGTTTCCCTTAATTCTCAACACACGAATGTTATAAAACATGATGCTCTAAACATACAAAAAGGGCAACCTGAACAGCAGTCCCCCCCCCAGGGCTTATTTTAGTGACACACGATGTCATAACCTGTTGCCTGCCAAATAGCAAAGCAGCAGGAGAGTTGCTGAGAAGGCTGGTATGTTGAATGGTAGAAGGCCACTCACAGGACTGATGGAATGAATTCATTGACGGCTGTTAAACCAGGATGCATTTAGCTACCAAGCACGTTGGCTCTTGAAGGTGTAACCGAGGTCAACCCCTTGTTTCTTTTTGTGAGCGAAGAGACTGTCAAAACTTGCTGAGAAACAAATTCTGAGAAAAATATTCCAGGCTAAGTGTACTAAACCTGCACCAACTTCACACTCCAGCCAATTACTGTACTTCTAACTGATAGAGACCGCCAGCCCAGTCTAACAAGAGGGTGCTGAAAGACTGAAGAGTGGTCTCACTAATGTTTGCTTGCATTCTATTATGCAGTGTCACGGTAGGTTGGCATCTGAAGTCAGGAGTATAGTTACCAACTAGCACCTGTATGGGGCCTGCTCAAACTGGAATGAAAAAACTGTCTTATGAAAAATATTCTGGGACCTCGGATTTCACTCCACATCTGATGCCAAGATTCGTGTGCTGGTCAAAGAAGTAATTTAGCTAGCTTTCACACCACCTGGCAGGACTTTGCAGTGACATGTCACTCACAGGCCAGACCCCCCTAAGTAAAACACCTGAGTTTTTTACCAGAAGAGTATGGATGCACAAAGACTGACAAAGTCAAGTCAAAAGCCAAGAGGCATACCATTCGATGTACCGTTACAGGGAATTGGCAATGCCTCTGGATTCTGATCGCGCTGAGAAGCATTTCCAAATGCATTTCCCTTTTGTGACAACCTGACTTCCTGTATGCAAGGCAAATATGTTTCTTCCATACTCTGCATATCAAGCATTTACCACAGCGTATGTACATCGTTTGGATCACTGAACTCTTTTTGGATGCAATTAGCAGAAAAGAGAGAACATTGCAACTCACTAAGAATTCTAGTGACGAAGGCTGCCCACGATTCAAACGAGGTGTGGCATCTCCCACAATCGGCATCTATCGCCTGGTGACTATTGAGAGCCACCCTGGACATTTTACTAGGCTAGTTTAAGAAAATGACTTTATGCCAGAATAGCTTGAGAGAGAGATGCTAGCCCCACTTGTGACGCATTGGACTAGCAGGCTCCTGCTCCCCCAGTCATGGCAATGTTACCTGGTGCAGTGTATTCCTCTCCAGCTGATGGCGGCTGCTGGGAAGATTCCGAGTAAGGATGGTCCTTTTCTAAACCCTCCATTTTTCTTTGCCGGGTGTTGCTGGGGCTCTGTGCTTTCACTGCACCACAGCTCAGCTGCGCAGTAAGCGCCTCCAGGATCACTTGGGCTACATACTGCTCAAGGAGTAGTCAGAGAGAGAAACAGCCCGCCCACTCCACAGGGCTTATCTGGCCTGGCCACTGGGCTGGTCCTGCTCTTATCGTGTGGCAGAGCAGGGGAGCTGGGGCTCATGCCTTGTCGAGTGGCTGCAGCTTTGTGGCAAGCCAGGCGCCTAAAACAGGAAGGGGAAAGGCGGAGTGGGGACCCTCATATTTAATAATTGGAGAGTGTAGCAGCACCTGCTACTTGCTCCCATTGGGTGAGAGAGGCAGGAGGGCAAGCCCAGCACAAAAGGGGCATCGCTGCAGTGAGAGGGCTCGCTGTTCAAGTCTGGTACTTAAGTGGCCATAGGCTTTCAGCACAGGAGTAAATTGCTCAGATCCCTGGGGCTGGGCGCTGAAAGACGACTGGCTTTACCCCAAGGAGAGCTGTTTGCGGCTGGGTATGGCCTCATGCCATGCCGGCAGTTCTCTGCAAGACTGCCTAGGGTGTGTCGCTCCAGGCCTCGGCCTGCGGTGAGAATGTTGGTAACGCCCACTCAGCAGGCTCCGGGCCCATCGTTTTCTTCCGGCAGGGCTGCTTTTGAGGCAGCACTTCTCAGTCTTGCCCTTAATCAGACAGCATCAGCCCTCACATTCAGGATATCAATAGCGTGCCAGGCCCCAGCCCAGCAAACACTTCTGCATGTGTAGAGCCCTGCTCATGTAGTGGGGACAGTGTTGTCTAGTGGATAGAGCACTAGCCCGGGGCTCAGGAGATCCATGTTCCATTAGTGGTTCGGCTGGTGACCTTGGGCACATCATCGACCCCCTCCGTGCCTCAGTTTCCCCATCTGTGAAAGCTGGCTAATGACAGTGAGCTCGTTGGTAATGAGCTTTGAGGTCTGCTGCTGGTGTGCTTTGCTGAGTCAGGCCTTGGTGGCCGGCTGCCCTTGCTCATACCTCATTTGGGCCTGAGTAAAGCCAGGATAGCTGTGCTGGACTGAAATATCCCTCAATTAAGTATGCACAGAATCCTTAAGCTGACATAGGAGACTGTAAAAGAGCTTCCTAGGCCCTCAGCTGCCAGCTTCAGTGCCAAGCTGGAGTCAGCATGCTGAGCAGCAGCTGCATTACAGCCTGGCAGTGCCCACGCGGAGTGTGAGGCCCTAACACCTTCCTGCTGCTCCCAGTTCCAGCCAGTGAGCAGCCAGCACCGATCTGGGGTGCACAAGGAGCTATTCCCTGGGCAGCAGTCACAGCCAAGGACTCAGTGCCCAGACTCCTGATGGCCAAGCCTGCAGCCCAGGAACACACTGATACCAGGCATGAGTCGTATACCTATACTGAGCAGGCTGTACGGAATGAGGGTGACACCTTGAGGGTGCATGCAGCTGTGGGACTGTGCATTGTAAGTACCTTTTCCAATAGGATAGTGATAGAGATGTAGCTGTGTTAGTCTGGTGTAGCTGAAACAAAACACAGGATGATGTAGCACTTTAAAGACTAACAAGATGGTTCAATAGGTGATGAGCTCATCACCCAATAAACCATCTTGTGAGTCTTTAAAGTGCTACATAGTCCTGGTTTTTTTCCAATAGGGTGGGGGATGCTAACAAGGGTCCTCCTCAGGGTGAGCAGCCTTCGCCGTTTCCTGGGGGGGAGGGATGCACATGCAGTGACTGGGTCCTGGCCCCATGCACCCTCTGAGCAGAGGCTGACTCGGGGCAAGCCGGCAGGGTTACCACACTGCCGGGTTTTTCTGGGCACAGCCTGTTTTTTCATCCTCCATCCTCTGTTCAAGCACATTTTTTTCAAAGAGGATGTGTCTGGGAAATTTGCAAGCAGACATTTCAGTTCAGAAAGCACTTCCTCTCTGCCTGGCTTGGTCCCTCTCTTGCAGCTGCAGCTGCCAGATCCTGCCACCTGCCGAGCACCTCTTGGGTAGGCCTAGCCCCTGAAGTTAGTTAACATTAGAGGCAAGCTTAGGCCTTTTCCTTTCAGTTCCCTCCTGACCAGTGTTAGCTCAGTCGCTCTGTGCATGCCCTTGCCCTAGGTCCTGAGGTAGGTGGCTCCATCGCTTTGGCGGGTGTGGACACAGCGGGGCTGGGATTTCGGTTCCCAGCAGGCCGGGCGGAAGAGGCAATAGCAGTTAGGCTGAGTGCCTATGGACAGAGCAAAAGGCGCCACTTAGAAAGGAGAAACATTTCCTGTCAGAATCTTAACCACTTGAAACATTTTGTGGGGCTGGCTCTGCTGGCCAGCAACTGAGGTTTGACTGAAGGCTCTGAAACGGCCTGCAGAGTGATCTGCTCCCATTCCAGCGTGGCGGGGCTTCCTGTTCAGGCACTGGGGGAGACATGCTAATAATGTTCCTGCAGCCTGCTGAAGCACGATAAACGAGCTTTGACTCTGCAAAACATCAGTGGATGACATTGCAAACCCAAGCAATAAACCCTCCACCCCTGAGCCTTTGAGTAGCGGTGTCTCTCCAAACGCAGGAGCAATTTCTCCAGGAGTGAGTCCAGCAAGGGTATGGATGGAGGCTGTGCTATTGCTATGGGGCCAGGACTAGGCATGGAGTAGGGGTCAAGAGGTGGACACTGGGTGTATATGTGTGGGGAAGACACTGGCATGGTGCCTTTTGCCAGCTCAGAGTGTGCAACAAGGGCACAGTCCAACAAGGGCACCACGCTAGGCACCAGGCTTCTCTGCCGTCACGCTGTGTCTCCCTCCTTTCTCTGCCTTCCCTGCGAGTGACCAGAAAGGCAGATGGCTGCCTATGGCCAGCCTTCTTCAGCATAACTGTCACAGTGCCAGGGCACACAGCTCTACCTGAGCAAGTGCGTTTCAGCAATAAAAGAACCTACACGCCTGCTACTGAGCTCACTGAGAGCCATTCCACCTCCAGCCAGGGCACTGGCCAGAGAACAGGCTACGAACCCCACCCAGGGGTAAGCCCCTTGGCTTAGAATACGCACTCCCTCCCATGGCTCTGCAAGTTCTTCAAGGGGTCTTCCCATGGGTGCTCCACCTTTTGGTGCATCAGCATCACTGCACCTGCAATCGGAGATTTGTGACAGCAGTGGCCATGGCCAGCCACGCACACGGAGAGCCAGTGTGTGTTCTGAAGGGGCTACGCACAGGCGCAGCCAGCCACCTCCTCGGTTCCTTCTCAACCACTGCCAGCTTCGGTTGCAGATCAGCAGACTCCCTTTACCTCATTGACTAGTTACATACTTACCTAGCTATAGACAGTTTTACCTCAGAAACTCTTTTCAAGTTCATACTTTGATTTTAGGGATAGTTTAAAAAGAGAGAGCGCGCGCCTCAGTGGACAAGCGCTTAAAGGGGCATACCAGTTCTGTGCAAACTGCCAGCTCTCTAGGACATGCCGGGTTTGCCCAGCTTCAAAAGGTGTCTGGGCTGCAGGCTATCCATTTCAGTTTCACTCGGGCATGAACAGTGTGTTCGCTGTCTTGGGGAACGACATGCCACAGAAGCGGACACCCCAATCCAGAAGTTCGAGAGAACTACAACTGAAAATGCTCCAGCTGGAGAAAAAGGCTCGGTCAGCTTCTGACCCCATGCAGTCTACCCCTCCCAGACAGAAATCACTTTGGACGGGATCGGAGAGAGTGGCTCCCACCAGGTTGAACCCTAAAACCGGGGAAAATAGTAACCCTAAGAAAAGGTCTATTCTTCCTCAGGGACTGACTCTCCCCTGGGAAGTGTTTTGTCCACAAAAACACTGCACCCTCCCCCGCCCCAACACCCAGCTCAAAAGGGGTCAGACAAGCCGCATGCCAGCGGGACTTGGGAGGAAAAAAGCCGAGACCCCCAAGCACACAGAACATGCCTCAGACAAAACAAAATACAGGACTATGTAGCACTTTAAAGTGCTTCATAGTCCTGTATTTTGTTTCAGCTACACCAGACTAACACGGCTACATTTCTATCACTATGCCTCAGATAAGACATTGACAGAGGCAAAGTGCAAAGCCTCCTCGTCGGCACCAATTAAAATACCCATGGCACCATCACGGCTCGAAAGAAACAATGCTCTCAAGCAGCACCGAGCACGAGCATTTTATCTGAGGCGGCACCACCAAAGCACTTGGCGCCAATCTCACATTCAAAGCAGCTGACGTTCCAATTAACGCCGCTGCACACTCCACACGCCTCTTCCCTCCACTACCATCCACTCTCCCGCTGCTACTGCACTTCACAACAGCAGCGGAGGTACTGGGGATGCTTCTGTTTGGCACCGACAGTACCCTGAACACCTCAAGGTGTACTTTCTCAGCTACTCCAGCCAGTTCAGCTGTCCTAGTATTTAGTGACGATGAGGACAAGGTGACCTCCACACTTATCACAACACTCCTTCCCTAAGTCTCAAAAACAAATTCAACAAAGGCAGCTCCCACAGTGGGTCCCACCACCTATTATACCTAACTGACCATACTGGGACCCTTAGGCGGCTTATCAACTACAACAGCCACAACAGCCATCTCCAGCACCACGGTCCCATGCAGTCCATAGAGCAATACAGCTGGGATGCAGAGGAACAGGATATGGATATTACTGGGGACAAACAGAGATCACCCTCTTCTCCACTCACACATCCTTCATCCACACCTCTTGACGATACCATCAACCACAAGGGATGATTTTAAATCGTTCCAGGAGTTTTTCAGGAGAATGGCAGACACCTTAGAGATTTCCTTGTGAGATATGCTGCTGATGCAACACAAGCTTACAAACATCCTGCACACGTCTCTCCATGCAAAAGTGGCCTTCCCCATGAATGAGGCGCTCATGGATCCTTCCAAGAATATATGGCACACAACAGCCACAATTCCACCAGCATCCAAACCAGCAGACAGAAAGTACTGTGTCGTTCCAAAGGGAGCAGAATTCCTGTTTTCCCACCTGACACCAAACTCCCTTGTAGTAGAAGCAGTGAATCAAAGAGGGAAGCCAAACGTTACACATACAATTCCCTGTGACAGGGATTGAAAGAGGCTGGATGCAGTGAGGAAACAGGCATATCCATCAGCAAGCCTCCAGATCAGAAGCCAACTACGTTGTTTTACTAGCAAAATATACACATCATATTTTCAGTCAACTAACATCTTGCATTCTGTCCCTCCCAGACAAGAAAAGAGAAGAGTTTAAATCAAACATTAAGGAGGGCATACTAATATCCTGTACAGCCCTACAGGCCACGTTGGACTCAGCGGACACAGCAGCCAGATCCCTGGCCTCAGCTGTGGTAATGAGGTGAGCATCTTGGCTTCAGCTTTTGGGCTTTCTGAGAGGTCCAGTCCGTTGTAGAAGACCTCCTGTTCAAGGTACAAAGCTCTTTCCTGAGTCCACAAACACTTCTCTGCATAACGTGAAGGATTCCAGGGCCATACTCAAGACTCAGGCATTCAGGTACCTGTTACAAAAAGAAAATAAAACAGATCATTCCACCAAAGATACATCATTCAACCAACAACGACAATATGACAACAGACGCCGACTATGCCAAAACAGGCGTAGACAGGCCTTCGATCAGTTCTCCACTCAATAACTATCAACATCCAGGCAACAGTTTTGAAGTCCTGGTTGAGGGTCTGACAACCCTGAAATTTCCTAGGCAGCAATCTGAACCATCTACAGTATTTGGCAATAGACTAGCCAACTTTTATCTAGCCTGGTGTGCCATCACCACTGACAACTGGGTTCTGGAAATTGTGAGAACTGGCTACTACATCCCATTTTTAGTTGTCCCACCCCCCTTTCCTCCCTCTTCAGGGACCCCTCTCACAAGAACTTGCTCATGCAAGAGGCGGAACATTGCCTAAGGCCAGGCGCCATAAAAGAGGTACCACAGCAAAACAGGGGCAAAGGTTTTTACTCCCACTATTTCCTCACCACCAAGAAGTCGGGCTGCTGGAGACCCATTTTTTGGACCTCTGCAGGTGCAACCATTTTGTTAGATACCAACGCTTCAAGAAGGTTACTCTGGCCACCGTTGTACCTGCCTAGAAAAAAGAAGCATAGTTGTCTACCCTCAACCTCCAGGATGCTTATTTCCATATATCAATACACCCATCACACAGGACATTCTTCTGTTTTACAATAAAGGACAGACACTTCCAGTACAGGGTGATACCATTCAGACTCTCAACAGCCCCACGAGTATTCTCAAAGGTACTAGCACTAGTAGCAGCACACTTGTGGAAAAGGCGCATCACGATATTTCCATGCCTGGACAAAGTGTTTTTTTTTTTTGTTAAAAAAAAAATGGTGCCGGTACTCCAGGGGAAAAGTTGTTGAGCTCTGACTGAAGGTGCCTGTACTGCGTACCGAGCAGTACCGTCACAAAAAAAGCACTGCCTGGACAACTGTCTAGCAATGGGCCCTACACAACAGAACACACAATAGGCTGTCTTAATAATCAGAACCCTCTTCAACACACTCGGGCTCCAGATAAACACAGCAAAGTGTACCTTGGGTCACAACCAAGAAAGCAACAGCACAGACCAGCCCGCTCATAATGGCGTGACTATGCCTACAAATACTGGGGCAAATGGCAGCAGCCAATGCTCAACTACATATGGGACCATTACAAGCTTGGCTACGCACAACCTACCGGCCACGTATTCATCCCTGGAACAAATATCTCACCCTGCCGAACAAGATAAAATCCTCTCACACGTGGTGGACCCTACATGACAACATATGCATAGGCGTCCCTTTCCAACGCAATCCACCATCAGCAACAATCATGACAGATGCCATGCTTTTGGGTTGGGGGCATACCCGCATCACAAGGTTGTACAGGGACAATGGACCCACAACGAGACCAAATACTACATAAACTTGCGAGAACCATGGTAAAAAATTCTTGCAGGCATTTTCTTCTCCTGATTCAGAACAGCACAATGCAAATCCTAACAGACAATGTCACCATCAATGGGCAGGAAGGGGCACGCTCAGACCAACTATGCCAGGGGGCTATTTGCCTCTGGGTATGGTGTATCCCATGCAACATACACCTGATTGCAACTTACCTCCCAGGCAAAGACAACATACTAGCAGACAACCTAAGCAAACAATTCCCACAGAACCACAAGTGGGAGATAATCCAATCAGTGCTCACTCACCTCTTCAAAAAGTGGGGTTCCCAACAGTGGACCTATTCGCTACACACACAAATGCTCGCTGCCCACAATACTGCTTCAGAGTGGGCATAGGCCCCCGCTCCCTGGGAGATGCCTTCAGTATACAATGGAAGGCGACCCCAGGCATATGTACTTCTACCATTTCCCCTGATATAACAGGTGATCCTCAAGATCAGACAGAACAGGGCCAGAGTAATCCTAGTAGCACCCAACTGGCCCAGAGAGACGTGATACCTGTACCCCTCACAGATGACCGACTAGCCGCCACATCAGTTCCTACCAGTCTCATCTCTCCTCATGCAGCGAAATGGTCAGATTTTCCCATCCAGCCATCCACAAGTTACACCTCCAGGCGTGTCCCTCCAGAACACCAGGGAAAAGACCTTCCCGAACTCAGTGCAGCTCATCCCCACAAATTCCAGAAGACCTACAAACAAGAAAGACATATACTAAAAAATGGAGATGGTTCACGGCCTGGTGCGCAACCCATACCTATGAACTTGCCCACACGGGAATATCACAATCCTACAATACCTATTAGAACTGCACAACACAGGCCTATCCCTGAGTTCCATAATGGTGCATCTTGCTTCCATCTCTGCTCTCCACAACCCCATACAAGAATACTCGATCTTTACGCACCCTTCTGTCAAATGTTTTATATGGGGCCTCCACGACATATTTCCTTCACGCAAGGACCCAATTCCGGTATGGGACCTGAATCTAGTACTAAAAGTCCTTATGGGTAAACCTTTTGAGCCTCTAGCCACTTGCTCTCTACTACACTTATCAATGAAGGTGGCCTTCCTCGTAGCGATCACGTCTGCCAGACGAATTGGTGAAATGGCAGCCCTAATGGTGGATCCCCCATACACAATATTTCACAAGGATAATGTGATTCTGTGGACTCATCCCAAATTCCTCCCAAAAGTACTCATCTCATTCCATTGCAATGAACCCATATACTTACCCATCTTCTTCCTGAAGCCAGGTAGCACAGCACGTCAACATGAGGACAAGGGAGTGGCTTTTCATACCCTGGATGTCTGCAGGGCACTCACCTTCTACCTGCAATAGACAAAGCCCTTTCGCAAAACTCCTTGGTTGTTCATTTCATCTATGGAAAGATTGCAGGGATTACCTATATCAAAGCAAAGACTTTCCAAATGGGTTTCTAATTGCATAAAACTAGCATATACCCTAACGCAGAGAGCGCCCCTACCCAGCATGCGGTCTCAGTCTACAAGGGCATTCCTACAGGGTGTGCCCACAGAACACATCTGCAGGGCCGCCACATGGGCGTCAACACATACCTTCTCGCAACATTATGTGATACATACATTTGCCAAGTCAGAGAGAACATCTAGCCACACAATACTCTCGGCTTCACAAGCTCAGCTTTCGAAGCTCCCGCCTCCTACTACGAATACTGCTGTGTAATCACCTAAAGGTTGAGCACCCACGTGGACACTCTTCGAAGAAGAAGGGAAGGTTACTCACATGTGCAGCAACTGGCATTCTTCGAGATGGTTGTCCACGTGAATGCTCCCATCACCCACCCTCCTCCCCTCTGCTTCAGACCTGAATACGTCTGGGTCAGAGAGGAACTGAGGAGGCAGCCAGCTGCGCATGCGCAGTATCCTCTTCAGAACACACTCCTGCACTTCCCATGCATGGCTGGCCATGGGCACTGCTGTTACAAATCTCTGACTGGAGGCGCAGCGGCGCTGACGCACCTGAAGTAGAGCACCCGTGGGAACAACCTTCTCTAAGAACTCCAGTTACTGCACTGCTGAGTAACCTTCCCTTGCTTCTTTATGCCGCCTGGGCCACAGCGCTGGCTTCATGGACAAGGAGCTCAGCACACAAAGGGCTTGTCCTTGGGCAAAGCATTGGAAAGCTGCATTCTTGGCTCCCTGGAGGCGTGACATTTGCATCCGCCTCCCCCAGTCACTGACCGTTACTCCTTCACATTGGTTCAGATGATCTCTTAGCACTTCCCAAGGGTTCCACCAGCCATGTCTCCCGCCTCCTCTTGTTCCATATACTCCCCATTAACACACCTCCCCGAATACACTGAAAGCCAAAGCTACTGAAACTTGTCACGCTGTGAGGTGTGTCCTGGGAATGGCAGCAAAGAGCCACGAGTGCCTCAGCGCCTCCCTACAGAAATGGGTGTAGCTAGGTGCTGGGCCAGACCAGGCCTAGTCCCTGCATGGCGTTTCTGCCCTTACCTCATATCTCAACTGTGTGTAAAACCAGCGTTCTGCTCGTGAGCCAGCACACAGACATCAACCCGTCAGCGTGCCCCAACAACCGTCCCGTCATTTCTCTCTAGCCAGCCAAGGGGCGGGCACTCTTATATGCCCCTTCATACCCCAGAACCTTTGGGGATAACCCTGAGACCTGAGCCTTCCCATCCCACCTAGTGTCCCTGCCCTCTCCCCACCCCAGGTGTGTTCGCAGCAGCCAGCCTTCAGCCCAAATGGAGAGCAAAGGCAGAGCTGCCTCCCTGTGAAGCAGCACTCAGCCATGCACGACTTTTATCAGGCCAGGGTGCTTCTTCAGCCCTCCCCCATGGCCCAGTTCCTTTCTCCGCCCCAGCACTCCAGAACTCAGGGGACAGAGACTCAGGGGGGCCTAACCTCAGTTTCTCTAGGGCTAGGGGCCTGATTTCCACCCCGCTCCTCAACTGGGGCAGCCATTGTTCCCCACACAGGGAGTCAAGGTGAGCAGGAGTCCCTACCCCGCCTTGGCCCAGCAGACCTGGAGCCTGTGGGAAGACATTCCCCCTTCTCCCTAACTGTAGTTCCAACCCCCCAGCCATGGGGCTCTGCCAGCAGATGCAAGGTGGGGGTCTTCCTGCCAGTGTGCAAGTGCAATCATCACTGCCCCCTTTGCTTGTGGTTGGCACAGTCCCTTGCAGGCCGGGAGCCAGCGGAGGGGTCAGAGTCTCTGCTCGTGCTTTGTTCCCCAGGAACCTAACCCATAGTTTGCAGCAGGGAGCTTTGATGGGGCAGCATGAGATCTGGCCTGAGCAGCCCTAGGCTGCTTGTGGCTGTGCTGAGACCATGGCCCGTCCTACTGGTCACTGCTGTCTCCTTATGCTCCCCATTGGGCTGGCTGGAGGCAGCTGTTGGCTCATCTCATTCCTATAGTCAGCTCTTCGGCAGACCTCTTCGTGCAGCCTGCGCTGCTCCGGCAGCAGGGCTTCTCAGCACTCAAGTACAGACCATAAACAACAGGCCAGTGCCCTGTTGCTGTCTTCGGCCTGTGGCCCTGGCGCTGCAAACCCAATGGCAGGCAACTGGAGCCTCCCCACTGGTTTCAAGGCAGGTGCTCTGGGTCAGGCCTCAGGTGCAGGGACCGCCACACAGTGACCCTGCAGCCTTGTAGCATAGGTTGATTGCATGCTGTGCCGAGACTGCGGCCTGTGTGTCAGCAGGAGAGTGATGCAGACAGCGGGGTAAGCCCCATAAGTACAGGAGAGAATGAGCGAGAGTGTTTTCACTCTGAGCAAAACTTAAAAACAGCAAATAGTCCTGCAGCACTTTATAGACCAACAAAACACGTAGCTGGGATCATGTGCTTTTGTGGGCACAGCCCACTTCTCCACTCTGAGTGGTGGTCAGTTACTGGCAGGCTGCAGTCAAACCCACAACAGCCAGGGGCATTCAGCTCAAGCTGAAATGTGCTGCTGGGGCCCATGCTTACTGTAAATGTCTCTGCAACTTCTCAGCAGCAAGCGGGAACATCTCAGTGCACGAGCTGCAGTAAGAGTTTTGTTTCACTTTGGGAATGCTGTATTCCCTTTTGCGTTGAGCCGAGAACAGGGGTTTGTGGGCTCTGTTCCTGGCTCTTCCTGACGTGCTGTGCTACCTGCAGCTTGTCAATCACCTTCTCCTTGTGCTAGCTGGCAAATGGTGATAACTGTTCTTCAGGAATGGCGTAAGGGTCAACTGTTGTTTGTACAGCAGTTTGAGATCTTTTGTATTATGCACAAAGTACTGTTGTTGCTATATATAATTTGCACTAATAGGGGGCGGCCCTTATTGAAAGGAGAAAAGTCTATTATCTCCTTTCACACTGTTACTACCATCATGCCTCTATCTTCCACACACTGCAGAACTACAATGCATTCCATGTAACAAGAACGGGCACTTCCATAGTGCTCGCCATGCTTGGATCTCAACGTCTTCGGTATTCTCCACTAGCTCCTCTTAGCAACAGACCAAGAGCAGAAAATAATTCATGTGCTGGGTAAGAGATTTACACCATCAATCTGAGACAGGAACTTCCTTCAGTTGCTCTTGTTGTGGAGCTCATGTATGTCTTCCTCAATACATAACATTAAATGTCTCTAGTGAAAATGCTTCTTGTGAATGCTTCACCTGCTAATTTTATTATTCAGCATAACAAGCTGAAAAAGGATCATTATTTGCATTTTTTAAATCTACTTAGAGCACAGTATCAATTACAGAGCTTTCCTATGGTTCACATGGTATCCCGGCAGGCTCCAAATATTAACACATTTCATCCTTCACAATCTGGATATCTTGCCCTGTTCTCCTAGAATACCATAAAACAAGAAAAGAGTTTTAGCAAATATTCCTGGGGAGACATTTAGGATTTCCATCTAGCAAATAGAAAAAGAATTGATTTCCTAAAAAGGGTGTTCAATTTGCCATACACAATGTGAGCATTATTACATATCTAAACTGTGTACAGAATTAGAATACTAATCAGTTCTATGCATAACTGGTTATTTGTATGCACAGTTATCCAATCTGAAGACTTAAGCATGCTAATTTAATGTGCAAATTAAGCATACAATGGTGCTTTTGTGCATCTAATTATATAAAATGCAGCAGATTGCAGACATCCTTTTCAAATTGAAGCCAAGTCTGTTTGCTCTTGGTTTCCATGGGATGTAAACCAGGGCTAAATTGGCCCAGCGGAGTCATAGAAAAATATTGGCTTAGGGAATACAAAGAAACTGCACTGATCTCCAGAGCTGACAGCTCTGTGATCTAGGTCTGACACAGGCCAATGACTCACTGTGCTCTGACCATTTCAGAAAACAGTATTTTCCTGGCTCTTGGTGAATAGCCACTGCCAGACAGCACAGGTGCATGTGTGCAAATGTGTAACTGACTAGGCATCGGACTGGGAACTGCACAGGACAATCCAGGTGCAAGGGAGCACGTGCAGTTTGCTAATTTGTTTAAAAATCTGGCTTCAGGGAAAACCCTCCATTCTGTCAGAAAAGTACAATGTCACTTGGGGCCAGGTTGGAGGTCTCATCCTGGGACCATTTTGATTTTCTAGCGCCCAGCCAAGCAGATCTGGAAGGATGTAGCAAGAGCCCTGGATTCACTCACAGTGGCAGAGCGTTGCACTGTTAATGATGCACATGTGAGGAAGCAACACTGTCATGGGCTACAAAACTACTGTACTCAGGAGGAGCTAGAACTGACTCTAGGCCTGGCCTGGAATGAGGGGCAGCGCACCAGCTGCATTGCCCAGGAGGAGCCCAAGGAAATGCTGTGGTCCAGATTCACAGCTGATGCTCCCATTACCTGCAGAAAGTGAAGTGATTTATCCCTTCACTGCTGCTCTGGGTCAGCAGTTTAGGTAAGTGTTTCATTTACATAATTGTGTCATGGCGCTGTTTCAAACAAGTGCCATTTCCAAACTGAAACTGCAATTTAGACACGTTTTTTCCGTCAATGGGGTACACCTTTTCAAAAGATCCTGTACTCCTTTTCGAAAGAGCCTGTACTCCTCAAAAAGGATCTTTCGAAAAGGCACCGCATTGTCAGAGAAAACGCGTCTAAACTGCGGTTTCAGTTTCGAAATGGCGCTTGTTTGAAACAGCGCCATGATGCGATTATGCAAATGAAGCATGGGATATTTAAATCCCCGCTTCATTTGCACTTTCAAAGTGCTTCCTTTGCATCCCTCTGCCAACAGAGGGGTGTAGTTTAGACGTAGCCTGAGAGAGGCGGGAGCAATTCACCCTCAGGGCAGCGCCGGAGGGGGGAAGAGGAGGCCCACTAGTTTCGAAGGGCCTAGACAGGTTATCATCTGAGTCACACTCTACGAGATGAAACTGCCCATGCGCTAGAAAGGCCTGATGACTGGGGAACAGGGGCAGTGTTCCCTGTAAGCTGTGCACTCATGCGGCTGCTCCGGAGAGATCCAAATGCTGCCCAGCTGATTAGCAGAGCTCCCACAGCCACTGTGTTTCTACTGGTGATGCACATTCGCACATGCTTTGGTGCTCATTTACTCCACAAAAGGATGGAAAAGATTAGAGTGAACATTGGCCGTGTTGGAACTGAAAGAGTTATTCTTTTAATATTTGTATTTTAGGATTAGCAATGTAAGGTAATATATTATCACATTTAATATTTTATTAAGCTAAGCCCTTTAGTGAAATATATATTTCTTTGTGTTAAAGTTTAGTAAGCTTAGTAAGTAAAGAGACAGAGTTTTGGTATTGTGTCTATGTTAATGAGATTAGAAATATTGAAGGCCTAGGCCTTTGATGTGAATTGTTTTGCTTTTGCTTAAAATAAAACACTGCTGTTTACCTTTGAAGGATTCTGTGAAAAAGACTTGTTTGTGTGAATGAGAAATGTATCAGCATAAATATAAAAGGCATGAAGGCCACCGTTAGACCCAGATTGCCAAGAAAGGAGGAGGCAATGTGGGTGAAGACATCCTGTGAAAGACAGACGGCGAAGAGACATATTGGCATCAGAGGAAATATCAGTGCGTACCTATAGTCAAGAATTGATCAGATTGGCAGATTGACAAGTCTAAAGTGGAGCGAGCACCCCCAAAAGACAACTGATTACAGGATGAGCTTCTTGGAGATGTCTGGAATGTCAACATCAAAAAATAATAGTAACCAGTCACAGACTGACACGGCAAAATCCACAGAGGAAAGGATTATAAAAGCAGGGTGCTTTGCCATGGAACTTTGGATTCGTCCTGCCACTATGATCACGCAGCCGACAGAGTTCAGCTCCCCCTCTGTGATCACTCTGGCTGATCCAGGTAACTATGACATCGGGGTGTGTGTGGGTGTGGGTGTGGGTGTGGGTGTGGGTATGCTGCCTTTCCCCCTATAAAAGATCTGGTGTGCTTCGTTTAAGCATAACACGTGGGTCTCACCCCTGGCCTTTAGGTTAGGCTGGGACAGCCTGTGAACCCTGCCCGGCCCCGCTCTGTCAGCCTAAGGCAAAACACTATGTGTGTGATCATCCATGCGTGAGCAATAGCAGGGCTTGCCCTTACCTTCGCATGATACAGAGCAGGCACTCGTTGCTATAGGTGTTTCCATCAGTCCCGCAGACAGGCCTGTGCAGCAAGGGGCAGGCTGGTGCCAAGGCAATGTGCTCACATGTTGGCTGGAAAGGCAGAAGCCAAACAGTGATCAAATTCCTCCCGTCACAGCGTTACAGCAAATGGAGAACCCCTGTGCTGGTGACAACCTCCCTGTGCTAGGCTGAATTATTCCCCATGCCCATGCGGTTTCCCTGCTATGGCTGAGTGCCTGAGCTCAGGCAGGGGGTCTGGGAAATGGACAGCATAGCCTGTGTCTGCAGTGGGAAGTATGAATGATGCGGGGGGGCTGTATGAACTGAATCGATGGGGCAGCCTGGACAAGAGTCCTCCTCCTTCCTTGACCCCCCTTGCATCTTCTTGTGCTTTCAGCTCTGCCCATGCTCATGGGATGGGTCCTCTGTTCACGCAGGGCTGGCAACGCTCACAGCTCTTGTTTTCCCCACAGCCCACGTTACAGTGAGCCCCTGTGCTCTCCCCCTCCCAATTACCCTGCTCAGAGCATTGGTTCTGTACATGAACAAAACAGAAGACAACAGCAGGATCCTACTTACCACTCTTGCAGCACCTCCTTCCTGACGCCCTGCCCCTGAAAAGGAAGGGAGCCAATCAAACCCAAGAGCAGGAGGCAGAGGAAGCCAGGGACAGCTAGGTAATGGGCCAGTTGGTCTTGCTCATGGAGCACGAGGCCAGGCACCGGGCTACAGAGCACCCAAGGGGAAAGCAAGCCACACTTTGGAGCAGCGTGAGAGCTCAAACCCAGCTGTTGCACCGGCTTCCCTGCCTGCTGATCAGTCCTGTTTCAAGTCACACACAAAAATTAACCGTTTGGTTACAAGTTCCAACCGGGTCCAATCAAATTTCAATCTTAGGCGCAGTAAATTCAAAGGGAGAGACTAGAAACTAAGCACTGAGGCTGTTTTGATCATTGTCATGCCCCACCCATATTATCTCTCACCTGCTCAGTGCTTTGCTCACTGATGCCACAGGGCAGGGCCGGTAGCATGCCCAGTGGTGGGGAGCAGTCACTGCAGCAGAGGAATACATTGCTGCCTCAGACAGAGCTAGATCTAATCAAGCCTGCCTTCAGAAGCTGGGTTGGGGAGGAGAAAGAACGGGGTAAGGGCTGCAGGGGAGTGCCAGTAAGGATGATGCTTACTTGTTAACCATTTACATCCCTAGTGTAGGCAGGGAGAGAAGATGTTGCTGGGCCTAGCTGCAAGAATGAAAAAGAACAAGGAAAACTGCTTATTGGGAGAAAATGATGTGGATGAAGATGTGGATATGGCTGCATGAATCAACTGGTTTGTAGCTGAAATAGTTCACTTTGCAATGCATCATTCTTCAAGCCTCTCTCTGTGCCTTTGCTGTGTTGGATGTTGATAGAAAAAAAAGTTTAGCTGAACTAAACCTTATGGCTTGTTTAATTGGTTAACTAGGTTTAGAAGCTATCACCCAAGTATACAGTGCAGAAAGTTGCAGGAAGAGAAATCCAGAGTTGCCAGTTGCCACTAAGTGTCATTTTCTTATTTTATATTACCTAACATATGCCCCTGATTTTAGAACATTGTGGGGACGCCATAAGTCTGTTCCCTAGTTTACTTCAGAATAACTCAGCTTTCCCAAGGGAACCCCATTCTGTGCTTGTTTCCTCAAAAATAGAGAAGCCCGTGAGTTCAATGGGAGTACCTCCAAAATTAAGTGCACTGCAAGCACAGTCAGTTTTAGCTTTTTGGTGACTTGATTTAAATCAGTGATTTTTTTGTGTGATTAAATTGTGATTTAAATTAATCTACTCTACAACACACCATGTGTGTCTTCACGCACTCACACAAACACGCTGTTTTTCATATTCACTTTCCTGCCGGCGCTGGTAAATGCAGCGTGTGAGGAGGGGGACTGATATCTACTGCCAGCACCAAGCCCCCTGCAAATCTGTATTATTGGTATTGTTCCTTCCTGCATTGCACGTACATTCCCTGCACATTTATTCTGTCCAAGTTCTGTTATTTTAGGGTTTTTTACTGGTCTGTGCATTTCATGATTTTTATTTCTCCCTTACATTTACATTTATTCCATGAGTTCGACAATGCCTAACTTGTCCTGGCTGAAGGGGCCCAATGGTAATGACTTAAAAGATATGTATAATAGCTAGGTTTTTCACCACTGGGGAGAGACACCTGCATATTGATGCATCTAACAAAATTCATCCCGCACATGGGTAGAAAGAATTAGAGGAAACACTGGACACAACCCCTCACTAGTCTGGATTGCACCCCCAGAATGTGATCATGAGACTAAGGATGTTAAGGACTAGGTGACTAGTCAACTATCCAATAAGCAAATGATAGAGGCGGGGAGGGGTACTTCAAAGCGTGGCGTTTGCATGGAGCCCGGGGTGAGCTGGGGAGTCCCCAGTTGACCCAAGCTCCGTGTGGAATTTCAAAGTATGGAGCCCGGGGACTGCAGGGGATTTCCGCTTTGAAATGCACAAGAGCACTCACTGGTGGCCCCACTAATCAACTGTTCCCACCAGGGCCTCTCACCCATTGCAATCAGCTGTTTGTAGCATGCATCGCTGGGAGGAGGGGGGCAGAGGGAGGGCTTTAGACAGGGGAGTTTGAGAGGGAGTGAAGAGATCCCACCGCTGAACAGACAAGGTGAGTGTACTAGCTTTGGGGGGAGTGAGTTTGCTTGACTGCATTTTTTTCAGTTTCAGGTGATTTTAGTTACTGTGTCAGTTGGGACTGGGTGTCTGGGAGTGTTTGATTGTTCCCTTGATTAGCCTCACTCAGCCTTGTGAATCCCCCCCCATGGTTAACAAGGGGGTAGGACTGATCTAGAGAAGAGGCTTTAAAAGCCAGAGGCAGAGTGACCTAGGGTGCAAAGCAGACAGGGCTGCAGGCTGCTTCCTACTGATCAACAAAGATACCCAGATACAACATTGGTAAGGGGGTGAAGTGAAGGAATGCTAATCTGTATGATACTCTCTAGCCACGAGGTGGCGCTGTGCACAAGAGCTTAGCTCCCTTTCTCAGCTATACCTGGCCATGCATCAGAGGAGCTTGCAGGGTGCACATCTGCTGTGTATCTCTCTGGGAAGTACACTCTGCACTCAGTCAACAGCTGATACAGAAGCCTGACCAGCTAAGAACAACCCTGCACCCACAGTGTACAAGGCAGGGTACAGCCCACTCAGCCTGCCCACATGGCCCCTGTGCACTCTGTCCCCCATGAGCATCTCCCACTGCCCCGGGGCATGGTGCATCCCCTGGAGCCCATCCGCATAGGCCCTGCAGTGTGTGTGGCCACCTGCACAGCCCCTGTGCGTGGCGAATCCCCGGGAGCCTGTCTATCCCCCTGCACCTCTTTGCCTGCTCCAGCAAGCTCCCCACCTACAGCTCTTCACACCCTCCCACAAATCCCCAAGTCCCCTTGCCTGTCACACTCTCCTCTTTGCCTCCTGGGGAGTTCCCCTATTTCTTCTGCTCATGCCTCTTTGTCCCGTGTCTGCCTTTTGTGTCTCTTTGAACTCTTCAAGTCCACCTGTGACGAGGCAGCAGCGCCCCACACTCACGCCGGATGTGCCAGGGCCTTAGCTGAGCCCTGCGCACCGGTCGAGCTGGAGGCGATAACGCCCCACCTCCGGAGGCAGCCTTGCAGCACATGCACCCAGGCTGCCACCAATGGCAGGGAGAGAGCGCCCAGATGGGGGCAGATGGCGGGGCCGGAAGTGACAGGCCGACATCCCGAGCGCAACCCCGCCCTGTGCTTGCGGCGGGGAGTTCAAAAACAGGCCACCCTCGGCCGGGGGGAAGGTGGAGGAGCAGGAAGCAGGGGAGGAGCCGGTGGAGAGGGTTCCCTCTCAGAGAGGGCACCACAAGACCAGTGAGCCTGAGACACTTCAGGTGGCGGAAGGTCAGGCGAGTCTGTAAGAGGTAAGGCGGGGGAGAACCTGCGACTGGCGGGTAGGAAGTGGCCTAGGGAGGAGCCCGGGGGGTTGGTGCAAAACCGGAAACTCCCCACCAAGCGGACAGGGCTTTGCCACCCGGTCCTCAGGGCCCTGGGCCGGAACCCGGAGTGAGGCTGGGCCCGGGTCCCCCTACCACGCACCGGCGGCTGTGAAAGTGGTGCCGTGGAATCCGAGACTGATCCGACCGGGACTGGGTGGGTGGAGAGACTACACTGTAAGACTTATAAGGATCACTGGTGAAGGGAGGGGGTTTCAAGCGGACAGGGCTTTGCCACCCGGTCCTCAGGGCCCTGGGCCGGAACCCGGAGTGAGGCTGGGCCCGGGTCCCCCTACCACGCACCGGCGGCTGTGAAAGTGGTGCCGTGGAATCCGAGACTGATCCGACCGGGACTGGGTGGGTGGAGAGACTACACTGTAAGACTTATAAGGATCACTGGTGAAGGGAGGGGGTTTGACTGGGTTTCCCATGCTGGGCATGGCCCCCAGTTGGAGGCCAGAGTAATACAGGCACCAGTCCCAGAGGTGAGGGGCGTCCCCCCCCCCCACACACACACGCACAGAGCCCTGAGGGTCGGTGGGCTGACACCCCCCTACATGGCTCTTTGGCCCCTTCCCTGAAGCAGCCACAGGGCAGGGGTGTCCTCGGTGGTTGAGATGGAGCAGGGGAGGTGAGAGGAGCAGTGCTGATGGGGCCATGGGGCTGAGCAGGAGCAGGGCTTTGGAGCGGAGCATAGGCAGGGCTGTAGTCTTGGTGCCCTGTCGATGTCAGCTTTCCAAAGGAGTAGTATGGCACAGTACCATAAGGCTGGGCACTGTATCCTGTTTGGGAAGGGTTAACCTCCCCTTCCGCCACAACACTACAGTGAATGTCCTTGACCTGTATAAAAAGATCCCTAAATTGGGTGAGAGTTAGAGGAAGAGGAACAGTTTGCTTGTCTGCCTGAGACTGCAAGCTCCTCAGGGGCTGGCAGGAAAGTCCCAAACCCAAAAATCCAGCTAGTCCTAAAATTCTACACCCATTGTCTCTGAAAGTTTCCAGCAGATTTTCTCGTGTCCGCTGGTAGACAGAACACAGGCTAGCGTGATGGTCCAGCAGTAACACAGCGCGTTTGCTGTACAGTCTGCTGGGGGAAATTGCATTGGCCTTTGCTGGGTTTCTCCATTGCATCCTGCCAGTCCGTGTTATTTTACAAAGCTTTGTTCTTTGAGATGTGTTGTTCACGTCCATCCCAATTCAGGTGTACGTGTGCCATGTACACAAGCATCAGAAACTTTCCCCTAGCAACTCCCATAGGGTCAGCTGTGGAGACCCCTAGAGAGGCGCCACTATAGTTTGGGAGTTAACAGGGAGTAATTAATCACTGGAACCATTTACCAGAGGTTATGGTAGCTGATACAGCTATTGCCTTTCATGAAGATGGAGTACCTACATTGATGGAAAAAGCTGCCTACCCCACAGGTAGCATTTTCACAAAAAAACTCTCCCGCTGACATAGCACTGTCTACACCAGAAGTTAGATCAGTATAACTACATTGTGCTCAAAATGGGCATTCATCACACCTCTGAGCCATGTCGATGTACCAATACAAGTCTACAGTGTAGACCAGCCACAGAAAATACCACCTCAGCTGGCATTAACTAGTGGCTGTAATTGGTGTACCCAGGATAAGACTGGAGAAAACCCCAGCAATGGAACTGTGCCAAGAATTGCCCATAGCTCCAGAACGCTGCTTCCCTCTGTGACAGTCTGTGCTTTGGGGAAACACCTGTAAACCTCCCCCACCCTTCCCCATCTGTGCATTGTGATGTTGTATGTAAAGCATGCGGGGTATCAGGGAAAAGGTTATGATTGGCTGAACCTGTTTAGTGCCTATGAAGGTTTCAGATTGTGTTGTATGACTGTCACTAAACCAGAGTGTAAGTTGGGGAATCAGCCAGATATCAGCTCTCTAAAGACAACAGCAAGGGGGGGGGGGTGTGCACGTCAAACAGCCATTGTCCTATAGACAACCACCTAACCTCAAGAAGATTCTTACCAACAACCACAGGACATACCACACTAATACCAACCCTGGTACCTTCCCTTGCAACAAACCCCGTTGCCAGCTTTGTCCACATATTCATTCTGCTGATACCATTATTGGACCTAACCAAGTGAGTTATAAGTTCAAGAACACACATTCCTGCGCATCCAGAAATATAATTTATGCTATCATGTGCCGAAAGTGTCCATCTGCTATGTACATTGGACAAACGTCTCAGACACTTTGCCAAAGGATCAATGCCCACAAAACAGATATTAGACAGGATCACAAAGAAAAAACAGTTT